TCTATGATATATCAGTTCCCAAAGGTCTTTTGCCGGTACGCCGCAATTTACGTAATTCCTAATCGAATTTAATGATTCAAATATTACCAATACACTATTTAACTGTTAAATTAACAACACTTATAACTTAATACACCATTTAACTATATTTAGCAGACTTCGAAAAGGGAGGTTCTCAATTCGACTCTACTTCTTTTTTGATATTTGTTACCTCAGAACTTTCTACTGGATGAAACGTTTTCGATGATTCTCTTTTTGATTTGAAAGCTAGTGGTATTAGTTGCCAACCCGCTTGCCAGGCGTGGCAACTATGGCAAAACCCCCCTCTACATGATAACAGGCTGAAATGATGATGATGATGATGATTAGTTGAAAGCTAGAGTCTGTAGACTGCACAAGTTGTTAAATTTTGTTAGAGGTCAGGTAGGTTAAGTTACAGAGAACCGGCCAAGTGCGAGCCGGACTCGCGCACGAAGGGTACATACCGATACCATCTATGAATACGGTAAAAAAATCATGTCTGTTCTTTGGTTGCCTCACTTTAATATTTTTTTTAGTATTTATTTTTATAGCGGCAGTAACATAGGTACATCATCTGTGAAAATTTCATATTTCTCACTATCACGGTTCATGAGATACAACCTGGTGACAGACGGCTACAATCTGTCTGTCCGGGTCTTTTTTTGCCGTATTCATAGATGGTATCGGGATGTTCCCCTCGTGCGCGAGTCCGACTCGCACTTGGCCGGTTTTCTGTACCTTAACCTACCTGACCTCTAACAAAATTTAACAACTTATGGGGTCTACACTTTCTAGCTTTCTACTAATACCACTAGCTTTCAAATCAAAAAGAGAATCGTCGAAAACGGTTCACTAAAAACGGTACGGAACACTAAAAACACGACCCGTGTACCGTGTGGCAGGGCCACGTAGCCACTTCTGCTGTTGCAGGAATGGGCAGGCTCGTCCGGGTAAGTACCACAACCTGACAGAAGACGCGCGTGAAGCGAAAGTGTTATGCTTTCGCGTCCCGTCTGGTGAGGGATGTACCGCGTACGGTATTAAGGTAGTCGACGCATATGCGAGCTCAGGTGTTATATACAGCGTGTCGTTACCACCGCGACAATAAATGAACACACATGTAGAGGATAACTTTTTAAAATTGTATTAAACATTTACATTCTTTGAACATCAATATTTACCGAGTTATTAAATTTTCCAAAACAAACAATTTTAGAATACCCTTACGTATAAAACAGATACGTAGAGTTCATTTGTAAAGATCACAAAGCATATGAATGGATTGAATGAATTTAAATGAGACAAAACATACTGTTAGAAGGAGAGGCTTGTAATGCGACGCTGTGGCGCGAGTTGTATAGGATGTTACAAATTTTGTTTCTTTTTTACTCAATTAGTTTGTTTGAAAAATATTTTTTTTTAATTATGGATTTTGTTTAACGTTAATATTTTTTTTATGATTATTGGCAAGTAGCGTTAGACGTGTGTTCATTTACTGTCGCGATGGTAACGACACGCTGTATGTGGTCTTATGTATTAACGTAAGGTGAACCGCCCCGCTTGACAATGTTATAAAATAAAATGAGTTGGACTCAGCTACCTCATATCGAGGTGGAATGACACTTCCAATTCACGCCGATGTCCTGTTCGGCTGTGGTAAAAGTAAATAAACAGTCTATGTCCCACAGCTGGGCATAGGCCTCCTCTGTATAGAGAGAGGGTTTTAGGGCATAGTCTGAATATTTTTTTAATTATTTCCAAATTACGCAGGCTTCACGATGTTTTCCTTTCACCGTTGAGCACGTAATAAACCATCATATGAAATTAAAAATTTAATTTGTGCCGCCTAACGGATTTTAACCCAGGATCGAGTATCATCGCTACATAGTATAAAACGCAGTCGTCCCGCCGTCTCTCTGTCCCTATGTGTGCTTCGATCTTTAAAACTGCGCAACGGATCTTGATGCGGTTTTCTTCACTAGATAGAGTGATTCAAGAGGAAGGTTTATATGTATAATACATTGCATCCGTGCGAAGCGGGGGCGGGTCGCTAGTTTCGAAATAAAAGCCAGCGTCTGCTCCACTCGAATCCATAAAGCGAAAAACGGCATTCGTATCCGCTACCGCAAATAGCCTTTACCGAAGAAGACGACATCTCATCTTATGCCGGCACCTCCGCCGGAGCAAAAATAACCCGTGAAAACAAACGCACTGACAGACAGTTCCCCTGGAGTTTGCTTTGGCCGACTTGAAAGTCTTCGGAAGTGGTGTGATGGACGGATGATGCGTTTACTCTGATAACAAACGGATATAGCGATGATGCAAGCGTTCTGCAACGGGCAGCGGTTTCGGGAAACTTCGAGCTGTAAACTTTTTAGGGTTCCGTACCAAAAAGGTAAAGCGGACCCTATTAAAATTTGTATAAAAAAAGTCTTCGGAATTCGCGCCCTGACGCTCTAGCCACTAAGCTAAAAGGCTGATTGCCACAGAATGAAATTCTCAACGTCTTTTATCTACATTGTTTTTTAGCATTTGAAGCAACGCTCGGCGCATCCATTGTTATATCCTTTCTAGCATACAAACAACCCTATTCCTAAGACTCCGCTGTCTGTCTGTCCGTCTGTCACCAGGCTGTATTTCATGACCGGTGACAATTAGACAGTTGAAATTTTCACAGATGATGTATTTCTGTTGCCGCCATAACAAAAAAATATTTAAGTGCGGCTCCCATACAAAAGACATGATTTTTTTTAGTTATTATAGACAATATAAATATAAATATATATTTTTTTTATTATAGACAATGGTACGGAACCCTTCGTGCGCGAGTCCGACTCGCACTTTTTCAATATTTGTTTTGTGCAAGGTTATTTTCTTTGATGTAATATTTCCTTTGGCGCGTTTTGACATAATTATGAGAGTAAAATTTTTAACGATGCGCGCGCACACTGACCGCCAAAAGGTGTCACGGTATCACCATGGCGACCAAGAACAACTTTTTGATATTTATTTTGAATGGCCGTCTGTACAGAGTGTATTAGGGCGTAGTCCACCACGCGACCCCACTGCGGATTGGTGGACTTTACATAATATACTCGATTCTTTTGGATTAGTTATTTCGAAAACTTCACAACGTTTTCCTTCACCTCTGGGCTAGTGATAATTTATCACTCAAAATTAACAATCTCATTGTTGCTAGGACCGAGTTAAACTCAGGTTGCTCGATTATAATGAACTAAAAGCGAACGACCAGACACTGAGCTATCGCGGCTTCGTTCCCGTGTAGATGCGTGATCTAAATCAACCGACACACCCGATAGATGGCGCTGTAACTAACCGTGCGCCGACCACGGTTCCCCAGAGAACTTGCGCGGATTAGCACCGCCCCGTTAAACTGATTAGCAAGTTGTTAGTACCGACCTGCTGCAGATCAGCTCTGCGAGACCGGAGCAGCTAGCAAACACGCCTTTTTCGATTCCCACATATATCTACATTTAGCGAGGTTGCGTTCACTTTCAACCGACTGCAAAAAAGGGACGACACAACACAAGTTCAACATGAGCTTGTATCGTAGAAAGGTCATGTTAGAACGACGGGGAAGTGTTATATTTACAAAAGAAAAGTATGTTTTAGCAAGTTTATCGTTTACTTAGTACCCATAGTACAAGCGTTGCTTAGTTTCGGACTAGAGAAAGTTCCTTAAAAATGTGTCCTATAATTTTATTAAGAGCTTAAACAGGCCTATAATGAATGAAGACATTTTTAATTTGATTATGAAGTCTTATAGTGGAGATGAATGGTACGGTACGGACCGAATTCGATGCGTCCCAAACACGAAATGGTAACTCTCAAGTGAGTTACCGTACGCTTTACACTAATCCGAACTTATTAACACTGCGTGATTAACATAATTATGCTGTGTTGAATGTAAACAAAGAACTATTTCTTCATCTTAGCACTGAGGGCGTTTTTGTGGTATTTCTTAAAATCAATTTATTTATTCTTTATTGCAATTACCTTAAGCACGGATTACAAAGGGTGAAATTAATGCCTATTGGCATTCTCTTCCAGTCAACCCGGGGCGTGGTGAGAAATCGTGGTAGGTGCAATAATTATATTAATTATTTATATGTATTGACAATATACAATATTAGTGTTTAATTATGTATGCGTAAACATAATTAAACACATACATACATAATATCCACATCGCGTCGGGGCCGTGGTGACACTCTGGAAGTACCGAGGTTTAGATTAGCTAAAACCAGAAAGTCGTTTCTTGGAAGATGCATCAACTTTTATAATAAAATAGGTGACATCCACAAACAACTAAGTATAAACAATTTCAAACAATTTGTAAAAGCTACCTTAATGGCAAGGGCTTATTATAATATTCAAGAATACATAGAGGACAAGGATGTTTGGAAATGACTCTTGCTCTGCACTTGCAAGACCCCTGGCTGCTGCTGATTTTATACCCAAATAAGTGTGTATAATTGCATTAAAAAAAAAAATATATATAACAAAAAGAACAAGACCGCAGAGTTTCTTGCCGGTTCTTCTCTGTGCAGGTCTAGTTTAGTGAACCGATGGTAGATTTTTGTTGACGTTCAATAAGAGCTTAAGTTAGGCCTATATTGAATAAATATACTTTGACTTTGACTTTGACTTTGAATACGTATTAGACATCATATAATGATAACGTTTAACTTAGAGTCACGGGTTATACCATTACAGTCCGTGCCGATATTCGGCGCCATTTATCGGGAGTTGGTACCCTAAGACAATGCCCGGGTCGTGGGGATCGACTGCACAACTTCTAGGGCAATGTAGAAACCCCCCCCCCCCCCCCCCCGCCTCCCAATCTGATCGTATGCAGTACAGAGATCACGCAAAGCCGTCACTCCCCCGACGTTCCATATTGATCGTTCAATTAAACATGTAAAATCGTGAACACTGCTTAATCCACCTGAGAGTTAATCCAATTGCGACCCATAGGGGCAGCCCGCCCCCGGGACGCGAACACGCGACAGTGGGGACGCTGGGGTGGCAACAGTTGCGAATCGCGGTGGCGGAATGCACCCTTTGAAAGTGTTCCCGTGTACAGCTTTCGACGGTGGATTTTCTCGCGCGGGATTTGTAGCGGGCTCGAATCCCGTACGAGTCTTATTTGCAGCGAGATTGTTGCTAGCATCTATCCACGGCAGCCGATGCTGCGACGATAAAATTGAGCCTTGGTACGGCCGTAGCGATTTCGATGTGATTCTGTTGTAACGAACAGCGTTAGGAGAGCGAGAGATTTTGCGATGTTAGACATTTTACAGCAACAAATTTGTATTTGTGATTCGATCAAGGGAAAGGTTCCGTACTGTTAAAACAGCTTAAAAATCACGTCATATGGGAGCCCCACTTAAATTTTTTTTAATTTTGTTTTTCGTGTTTTTGTTATAGCGGCAATAGAAATACATCATCAGTGAAAATTTCAACTGTCTAACTATCACGGTTCATGAGACACAGCCCGATGACAGACAAACAGACAGACAGCGGAGTCCTTTTTGGCATGAGCCGCGACGTACTATAATGAAAACGGAAAATATGCATATTGGAGTTTAATATTCATGGTTTTGTTCGTCTAATTTTCATTGTTTTAAATGATTGTTGTGTACGTCAGTCTGTTTTATGTCAAATAAATCTCTTTCTTTCTTTCTAATATTTTTACCCTTTTTAGCCTTTGGGTACGGAACCAGTATTATAAATAATAATTCTTGAACGCTATTTATCTTTATGTTAAGATGATTAGTTGTACCATTAACCAGTAGATGCACGAGTTTGAATTCTCTAGCACAAATGCACCCATTTACTCAACTTCTTAGCAGCGTAAATCCTTTGCAAAGGTGTACGGCGACAGTTTCATCGCTTGTCACCTGTCGTCTTAGTTCGTTCCTAGTCCAAAAGCCCATCGATCTGTTACCATCTTATCGCGGTTGATTGCGTGACAGTTTATCTCCTGATGGGGCTAATTAAATCCCATTTGGACCTTCGAAAAAAACACGGCATTCCTCCCGTTCGCGTATCGAAAAAATCTCCACGGGAAAGCTAGAAAAAATCTCAGCCTGACCGCAGCGGACAAAAACACGCATTAGACGTGGAGTGGTTCTGTATCAACATTTAGACAAGGACGGCTGCTTGTGTTTAGAGTGGAAGAGAATGTGACAGGTGCAATCCAGTCCCACATATGTAGAGCCACGCTGGGCTGAAATGGGGCTTAAGTAGTCAAATATAAGTTGGATTATATTATTATTTTAGAATATTAACCGATATTTAATAGTTGATCCGTCAAGCGTTGTTTTGCCATAATTTTTCTGAGAAATAAAAAAAGTAGGATGAGCCGCTCTTAACACTTAGGGGTATTTTTTGTATTAGTTATAAACATATTCTCATACCTTCTGAATATAGTCTGAATATAGTCAAGCCGTTTCGGACCGTCGAGTATAAACACTAAAACTGTGACAGAAGAATTTAAATATTAGTCTAGCTTTTCGCCCGCGGCTTCGATCGCGTTGAAGTCCTTAAATAAATATCTTTTTTTTAAAACTGTATGTGTATTTTTAAGATTTTTTTTTTTCAATTAAAAAATAGCCTATGTCCTTTCTCAGGCTCTAGACTATCTGTGTATCAAATTTTATTTAAATCGGTTCAGTAGTTTTTGCGTGAAAGCAAAACAGACAGACAGACAGAGTTACTATCACATTTATAATATTAGTATGGATTGACAGAGTCTAAAGATAACACAAAACTGTTTTGCTGTTTGTAATCCGTTAGATTTCGATTTGAGTCTGACGTTTTGACAAAGGCAAATTAAGATTTTCTTTATTCAACTATGGCTTTATCTCTTAACGTCAAAATTGTCACTGGTTGACTTAATTTGACCTGTCTGGAGCAGAACGGACAAGAAGCAGACGTCTAGTATATAAATGATTTAAAGTAAAGTAACATAAAGTAACTGCCGACATGTATGTATGACCCACTGCTGGCCAAAGGCCTCCTCTGTCCAGAGAGTAATACACAGGTACTGTACAGGGCATATACCTGATGGGCATACTTCACATATCTTCGAAATATACGGTACAATGCCGCTTGCAATAATGGAAGGATTGGATTAACTGATGTGCCACATTGCTATAATTCGATATCAATCAATGTTATTAAGTATCCACATACCCTATTACATCTAGAGCACGAGAATAATTATCAATATATCTATTAGTAAAGTGAGGTTATTCAACAACGAAGTTATTTCGCTCCAAAAAGAAACATATCTATTATTGTAGTTTCCGTGGAAACTCCTTTTCGAGTATTTAGTCTCCGAGAAACATAAACAGCATTTATCACATCCCCTAACGATATGTGACCGATTTGTCGGGTGATTTGTGTTTTAAATGTCGTCACAAATAGTTGTGACGGAAGAATTAAACAACCAAAACCTATGTTTTCGTTGTTTAATTCTTCCGGGATCAGTTATAAAGTAAGTTTAAGATTATAAACAAACTAGTTGACCGCGACTACGTCTGCGTAGAATAGGCTGAAGGCGTAATATTTAGACAGAAAGACAGATGTGTTATTCTGATGTATAAGCTATATTATTGTAAAGTTTATTAAAATCTATTGAGTAGTATTTGGGTGAAAAAGTAACAAACATCCATCCATAAATACAAACGTTCGCGTTTATAATATTAAGTAAGGAGGCAGGATGCATTACATGAAATGCGAACTCGCTAAATTTCGTATTTAAATAAATTAATTGGTGAAACTCCAGAAAATATTTTCGCTGCGATGCTGAATCAAAAAGGAATCTTAAGTACCTCATTCATATCCTGTTTCCTTTATTGGTCCAAACCATTCACCGTTCATTGATGAACGTTCAATGTCATTCAATGTTGCCAGCATATAAAAGCAATTTATAGTTTTTGGTATTAAATTTAATTAATTTATGTGATAGTGGATCGTACACATATTACAGCATACAAACGAAAAGATTGTCGATTCGACAATCTTTTCGTACTTTTTCTATATGTTTTAATGTTCAAACTTAAGTGCAGAGATTAGCACTATAAAAAACTTTAAAAAAAAATTATAAAAGCAATGGCGACATCTCTCGTTCGAATTATCGTTGTAAAACGATATTGAAAATTGTTTGTATGCTGGAAAGGATATAACAATAGATGCGCCAAGCATTGCTTCAAATGCTAAATAACAATGTAGAAAGGGCGTTAAGATTTTCCTTGCTGTGGCTATCAGCCGTTTAGCTCAGTGGCTAGAGCGTCAGGCCGCGAATGCCGAAGACGTGGGTTCGACCCCCACAGCGGCGACAATCTTTTCGTACTTTTTCTACATGTTTTAATGTTCAAACTTAAGTGCAGAGATTAGCACTATAAAAAACTTTAAAATTTGCGATATATATAAAAATTATGGTAGGTACCTACCTTTATATTTTTTTATATTTCGCAATTAAAGGAATAGAAACATTCAATAACCAACTTAGTACACTTAATTAGTGTGTTATAATTATGAAACTTAACTTGACATATTTAAGTTGACTGATAATCCTCACTATGCGAGAATTGTTTTTTCTTGAAAATACAAATCTTGTTGTTAAAATCTTGATGATTCTAACTAAGAAACTGCTTTTATTTAAAACAGTTATAACCTTTATATAACAGGAAACGTTCAGCTATGTATCTATTAGTGAAAATTAACCAAAAAAACGGTAAAGTCTTTCCAGATATAATCCGGTCCAAGTAAAAAGATGAAATCCGGTACAAAATGAATAATTAAAAACTGTCACTTTATTAAAAGGTGACAAAGCATCTGCAAGCCTACGGGTGTTGCAAACGTCTACACTTTGTCACATAAAAAAAAAACTGTCAGTAGCCAATGAAACTAGGGACAATAAAATTCAGACGTGCCGTGATTATTAACGATGTAAATGTTTCGAAACGTCGGGAATTATAATAAAAAAAATTCGTAGCCTACGAATCCGTCAAAATATGTAGACACATTTTGTTTTTATTTTTTTTTGAAAAACATTGCCTTTACTTTAGGATAAAATTATTCTGTGTTGTAAAGACGTTTTACAAACATAACTTTCACGTGGACAAACATCCAGATACGAAACGATTATCTGTGGGTCACACAAACAGTTGTCCCGTGTGGGAATCGAACCCACGACCCCCGACGCCGGAGCCAATACCTTGGCCACTCCGCCACGGAGTCATCACATTTAGTAAACAAACAAATCAAACAATTAATACTAGTATTCAATTCCTGACAAAATTGTACGCATTCGGTCAGAAAAGCAATTATGTGCGTGTTATTACTACGAGTAGTTACTCCCATAGTCTTACTCGTTCATGGGACGGTTTATACGCTTCTACAACAAAATCCCAGTTAATGTGTTAAGCCTATCTATTAACAGGTCTAAGAAATTTATTAGAGAAAAACTTTTTAAAAAGGGTTATTATAATAAAAATGAATACATTAATGATAACAGCCCCTGGGAATGAGATGATCGCTCCTAAGCTGTTTCTAAAAATATATATGTACTGTATAACAATGTAATTGTTTGAGAAAAAAAAAATGACAGAAAATTGACACCTACGGAGTTTCTTTCGCCTGTTTCTCCTCCGTTAGAGGTACCTCATTGCGAAACGGTGGTAGATTTAAAAAAATTACCATCGATAGATGAAATGTATATTTCTTATTTCGATGGTTTGATTTGATTTCAACCGGGACCGAGGACTGTTCAGCTTCCAGCCCCTGTGCCATCGGTGCCAGCTGCCGGCCAATTGCTCGGGGTCAACGCCCTCTCCAGTGGGCTCGAGCATGCCGGAGTTCGAGATGAGGGGCGCAGCCTCTCTGAGTCCGTATCAATTGTAAAGAGATCTTGTATCTTGTATTAACTGATGTTTTTGCTTTCAGTCCGAGACTATTAAAGCTTCATCTGACGCAGAACCGGTGGGCTAGCCAGAACCCACGGGTTTGGGTGTAAAGAGATGCAACGACGATCTTACACGTACCTCTGAGTCCGGTGAGTGAGGTAGCCGGGGCCCACTTTGTTTTAAACAACGCATCTGCAACCCTATGGGTGTTGCGTGCGGTTATAACATCAGGTGAACCGCACACTCGTTTGCCACCTTCTCACATCAAAAAAATATAATATCAGAGTTAATTGCAATAAGTTAATAAACTCAGTTAAAAACTAACCGCAGTGTTAAAGAAGAAATGTTCTATACGGAAAATACCTCGATAAAATCTTCGTAGTAGTCGTACAATAACATTTTATTGATAATGCTGTTTGTATATCTTGATAATAAATACGATGATATAAAAATAGGATAGGTTAAGCATTAGTTCAGCGAAGAAATGCAGCTGGGGCATTCTTGGCACGATACCGCGTGGCCTAGGTTTATTAGATAATATGTAATCTAGATGGATTTACGCCCGGTTTCTGAAACAATGATCATCGCAGAAGTTAACTAATCAGCTGTTAAATGGCTTTTCAAATGTTATTTAAGTTGTCAAAAGGGTGGTTAAAATCATTAAGTATGAATCGAGTGAAGAATGATTATTAAGAAGAAGTTTAACCATCCTTTTTCTAACTGAAATGACATTTGCCAAAACGATGATTAGATTTTCAGAAACCGGGCGTGAATGTTGTAAATATTGGATAAATTAATTGTACAGTTAATTTTTTTAATAGGAATGAGTTTAGTAAAATATCAGATCGATTTGAATTTATTAAAACGAATGGGGATAACTTTAAATTCCCCCGTTTAGACAGATGATCCTACAAGGCACGCGCCGCCGCCTTCCATCTTCGTTTAGTGATGGACAAACGTCGACAGATTATCGACGGTTGAATGGCCCCATACATTTCTGAACCTATAGTTAAGAAATGTATGGAGCCTATGTCAGCAACATATACACTAACAATACATACATAAATACTATTTATGTATGTTACTTATTAAATAGCTAAAATTGTAGTTATCGTTTAGTAATATCTAACTTGTACAATTTTACTTCGTTTTATTAACCAACTTTAAAAATGTAGGACGTTTCTCAATTCGACCGTATATATTTTTATTTATTTTTATGTGTGTAATATGATCCGATTTTGATGATTATTTTTTTGTTGGAAAGGAGATATCCAAAGGGTGGTACTATGGTATGGAAACCCGGATCTGATGATTGCATCCCAGAGAAATCCCGAGGACAATCCTCAAATGTTATATGTATTAACAACGTTTTTTTAGTCTCCGGTTTGAAGTCGGTTTTTTTTTGTTAAAAATTATAAACTTTATTATTTAATAATTAAGATATGTTGATTTAGAAGAGCATACAACGTAATTTGAATATGGCCGGCCTAAAATAATTGATGTCATTTTGCCAAGTGACTAACAATTTTCGGTATATATTATATTCTAATAGTAATATATATCGTGTGCCTAAAGTGTATTTATATACGCACTTAAGAAGTTATACTTATTTAGCGTTAAAAAAAGAAAAATAACTAACAGTATTAACCCGTTTGCCAGTAGGTACGGTGTTTGTGAAAAATATACTATAAAAGCAATTAATAGCGCTTTAATTAAATAACACGGAATTGTATGTAAATGTCTAATAAAGTTTGTTATTCGTTGCCATGGTAGCGCGCATCGTAAAAATTCACTTTTATAATTTTTACCAAACGCACCAAAAGTGGTACCTATAATTTCAATAATTGAATTATTATACAAATTCGTTTATAAATTAAATTAAATAGAATTAGTAAGATGAATAGAATACACCTATTTAATTAAATAGCGTACTCTTACAACTGTAAGAGTTTTTTTGCGTTTCGTCTGGTGAGTGAGGCAGCCGGGGCACACTATAATACGGCAAAAAAAGTCGTGTCTGCTGTATGGGAGCCTCACTTAAATATTTTTTTATTTATTACGACTTTTTGTTGTTGTTATAGAAACAACAGAAGTACATGATCTGTGAAAATTTCAGCTGTGTAACTATCACGGTTCATGATATAAAGACAGGTCACAGACGGCAGACAGACAGCGGAGTCTTAGTAATAGTGTCCCGTTTTACCCTTTGGGTACGGAACCCTAAAAAGTACCCTACAATGAAAATTATCTCCCTAAATCCATTGTCACCTTGGCTGAATGGAAATTGGCAATGTTTGTTGTGATTAAGACATCTCGCCCATTGTCTTATTCCCTTATAACGAGCTATTGAATCTAATACGCAAACAAAGCCCTTTCCACAAATAATTGTTTTCGTATGTATAATACAATCGTTTTGCTTAATTATAGTTCATCCTCATCGAAAAACAAATACTAAAAAACAGAATAAAAAGCTATTTAAGTGGGGCTCCTATACAACAGACATGATTTTTTGTCGTTTTTATACATAATGGTAGTAAATGCTTTCAGTCCCGAGACTATTAAAGCTTCATCTGACGCAGAACCGGTGGGCTAGCCAGAACCCACGGATTTTGGCCCTCCGCTGTGGGTAAGACCGCGCGTGTGCTCATGCGTGTATTTAACTAAAACTCTTCGTGCGGGAGTCCGACTCGCACTTGGCCGGTATTTAAAGTTGTATACATTGTAAGATGTACACTTTCAATTAACACAAACGCGAACTATAACTCTGTCACTCAAAAACTACAAGAGACGAGAGAGAGGTAGTACGAAACTACATTCCGTGATCCGCAAACACTACTACCGCCTTATGTCGAAGAGTGGAGGCGAGATCGACTAAGGCGCCTCTCGCAGCCTTTCCCATCTGTTCTCAAGCTTAAGAAGCTGAGGGATCATGGCGTCTTTATAACTGCGACAGCGGGAGGGGGGGGGGGGGGGGGTTTAAACTGCTCAGTCCTTCACAAGACACACGCTTTCGGAGCGATGTATATAACTTGCGTTTGCAGCGAACGATTACTTGATAAGCCGCCCTGAAGACAGTTTAAAGCAGGCAGTACAGTGAGTTATGTATACGTACAGTAAAGTAAAGCAACGGCTGATATGTGTCCCACTGCTTGGCAAAGGTTCATCTGTACAATGGGCATGGACGTAACAGCGAAAGTTGGTGTGCGGTTGGTGTCCTTCACCGCTGAACACGCGATAAGAAAGCACATAAAATGAAAACATCTCATTTGTGCCGGCACCCGGGATCGAACTCGCGTTCCTCTAGTATATTGAATTAAAAGCGAGCGCCCGGACAGTGAGCCATCACGGCTATTTACATATAACATAATGTTCGCGAGATTTCTGATTGATTCACAGCGGAGCGGGTAAGTTTTTGGCTATAGAGAACTTCTGACCGCACGATAGACTGTCTCAAACAATATATCACATTAAAAACCCAAAGTCGACCCTTAAAGAATGATTAGGATTCGAACCTACGCCCTCTGGAATACGAGTCCAGACACTCTAGCAACTGATTTGTTAACCGGCTTCAAGCCGACAGCCGACTTGAGGATTGCCTTTTTTTAAGTCGTATTGTTTTCTTGATTTTACGCGAATATTATACATATTAAATGAAACTAGTTTACGTATTTTATCGCGTTTTTAATTTTGATTTGAACTCCCGACGTGTCGAACACTTTCCAGCGTTCATTGTCACGGGACAGACTAACTTGTTACACGTCTTGATGTCACAGTTAACCCCGGCTACCGTCAATTATTTTGTTTATTTTTATTCCGATCCACGCAGAAGGAGCTTATGGTATCCTTTTCATTTAATATTTTTTTAAGTCGGTTGAAAATAAGTTAGTAATTAAGCGGTAGTTGGCTATGACTATGCCATGGAGTTTTTTTTTTATGTAAAAAATTGGCATGCGAGCAAACGGTTCACCTGATGTTAATTGAATACCACCGCCCTTTGACATCTGCTACACCCCGGGGTTCCAGATGCGTTGACGACCTTTTGAAAATTGGGCTCCGGCCACCACGTTAACCAGACGAAACGCTAAAGTATTATACTTCCTTTACGCCGGCCTTCTGCGAGGTCGTGGTACTTACCCGGACGAGCCTGCCCATTCGTGCAACAGCCGAGGCTGCTGCGGGGCCCTACCACCGTGAAAAAGAATAATTATAAGTAAAAGAATTTTACGTAGTAATGTCATAGTTATCTTCCGTCATAATCTTATTTTTTATCATTTAATCCAAGCAAAATGAGCTTACGATATCTCCATGTCTTACAATATTAGGCCTGGAATCAAGTTTATGAATTATACGACCCCAAGCTGGTGGTGGAATCTCCCGTTTCGAGCCGCTGAGGGTTGTCATATGATACGCCATCTCGCTTTCATTTCAATAAATCATTCGGCACCTAGGGACGCGCGCTGACTTATCGATGAAACGTTTATTCCTCCTGAAAATTTATGGGTGCCCGTTTCGCTTTCAACCTGGCGCGTCTGGGCTGAGTCATCGCGCTGAAATCCGGATTTGGAAGTGGAGTTTTTTAATGTGAGAATTAGGCGAATGAGCAGGCGGTTCACTAGAAGCTAAAATAAATAGATGTTTAATTTAAATAGAGGCTAAGTGGTAACCGCCACCCATGGGTTCACTAGAAGCTAAGTGGTAGCCGCCACCCTAGTGGACATTTGCAACAACCGCGGGGTTGCAGATGCGTTGCCACCTTTAAATAAAGTGGGCCCCGGCTACCTCACTCTACGGACGAAACGCAGAAGTGTAACACTTCCACTTCACGCAGGTCTTCTGTGAGGTCGTGGGACTTACGAGAGCTGCCCACTCGTGCAACAGCGAACACTGTTGCGTGGCCCTACCACGGGTTTTCAGTTTTTTTGGTGCGTCCAGGTCAAGTTGATCCGTAAATGGGATGACGAGGAGGGGCACTTACCTTCCAAAGTAGCCCTTCCTTCTTCAGCTCTTCGCCTTATCCCACCTAGGTGGGGTCGACACATGCGAATCGTGTTGTCAATCGTATTGGCTAGGGTTTTTTTACGACCTGTCGCGTGCCTACGCCAATAAACTCCCAGATCCGGAACAATTAATTATCTGTGTCTCGCAATTTATTGTTCCGTGGATGCAACCCACCACCCCAAAATTAGCTTAGCGACTCAGCCACAAAGTCATGCTTATCTCTAACCCTATGAATATTATTTACTATTATTTGGGTGATGACTCCGAGGCGCAGTTGCCAAGGTATTGGTTTCGACGTCGGGGGTCATTGGTTCGATTCCCGCACGGGACAACTGTTTGTGTGACCGACAGATAGTTGTTTCGCATGGGTGTCTGTCCACGTGAAATTTATGTATGTAAAACGTCGTTACAACACAGGGTAATGTTATCCTAAAGTAAGGGCAATGTTTAAGAAAATAAAAGTATGCTACGCCGAGTTTATTCTAATTATCTGGTGGAGTACGTAGGCTTTACGATCTGGAAGATGAGACAGCGGTTAAAGAAATACTAAAATGTAGGTACTCCACGCAGACCTCCCGTGTGATCTGTTACTAGTAGTAGAATCTGAGTGGCCCTACGTCAGTTAAGGCTTGATTTAACGACAGCGCACCAAGCTATGTTTTGAATTCGACTGATGCGCTCCTCTAGAGATGCTATCGGCACGGAGTGCCACCCCACTTATTAGTTCAACGTACAATGCGCACAAAGACGCTTAGCCTAATATCGTAAAACGAAAAAAACGAAGGGAAGGGAGCAATGAGTTGTGTGCATCGCGATGCTATCGCTCGGCTCGGGTTACGATAGGGTCGCGCAACCTTTGGCTTTGTTTTATTATTTAGTAATATGTTATATCATTTTATATGCCACAATGTGTGTAGCATTCCTCGTCTAAAGCGAACCTGTTATTGCAATTTTTATATACTTGGGTTTATTGAAATGTTTTGGGGCAAAGTAAGTCTTGAAAGTTACTTAAAAGACAAAGTCAAAATTTCTTTCTTCAATACAGGCTTATTTTAAGCTCTTCAACGTTAAAAATACCTTTAAACATTTGAAGCAAAAAAAATGTGAAGAATTAAATAATAATTTTGAAGTACACAAACAGTTTCCAACTCAAGAACTAAAATCCTATAACAGTATGAAAGAATTCTGACTTAAAACTATTTGTCTTCAACGCTATGACATGATGCCCTTTATACTTTTTATGTTATTACATCATACCATAAAAATGTTCTTAACTCCTGTAAGTCGTAGATCAGATGTAGGCACGCGTGGTTCGTTAGTCAAGCGGACCCAAGCAGGCCTATTAGCCATTCACGAGCAGTAATGAACTCAATCACCTTGTGATAAGGTTTATAGTTGCCTGTGGATGGTAACAGATCGCTATGGGGGCTAATGGCTCTATGCGAGCCGCCCGCAGAGTTTCGTAAAGTGGCCCGAATAGCTCGGGGTAAGGTTTGATCATGATACCGGGTTCGAATCCCAGCATAATGTATATGTTTAATTTGTTTTGAGTTATAGAATACCTTTGATTTTATTTAACGTTAAAGGGACAATTTTATGCGTTTTAATTGTTAGTTCTTGACGTTTTTTAAATACATTCTTACCATACATGACAGGCTACAAGGACTGGAAATGAATTATTAGATATTGACAGAAACATTCAAACAAAAAAGAAATGATTCATCTTTACCGAGCGCACATGTTTATACCCGGTTAATCCACGGCGCCGTCTTGCAGTATCGGATGATGTATTAGAGAATAATGAGATAAGACACGCTAGTGTATGCACTTAACTTAACCCAATTGCGCTGACAAATATTAGCTCTCCTCCCAAACTACCTCGTCTGTTATGTCAGCCATCAGTTTACGTCGCTCTTTGGAGTAATCCCGCCGGTTTTGATGACTAAAGCTGCACGGAGATGCGGCTTATGGGGACAAAAACTGGCCAAGTGCGAGTCGGACTCGTGAACTAAGGCTCGTGCCATTTGTATAGATAACTACCATTATCTATACAAATGGCAAAGATCCGTTGTCATCAATCGTGTCCGTTATAGCGGCAACAGAAATACATCATCTGTGGAAATTTCAACTGTCTATCACGGTTCATGAAATACAGCCTAGTAACAAACGGACAGCGGAGTCTTAGTAATAGGGTCTTAAAACATGTAGAAAAAGTACGAAACGATTGTCGCCGCTGTGGGAACCGAACCCACGTCTTCGGCATTCTCGGCCTGACGCTCTAGCCACTGAGCTAAACGGCTGATAGCCACAGCGCCGAAAATCCTAACGCCTTCTTTCTTCATTATTATTTAGCATTTGAAGCAATACTTTGCGCATCTATTGTTATATCCTTTCCAGCATACAAACAATTTCGAATATAATTTTACAACGATAACTCGAACTAGAGATGTCGCCATTGCTTTTTCTAAATTTTAAAGTTTTTTTTTTTAGTGCTAATCTCTGCACTTAAGGTCTTGTTTTATAATTTGGAAACTGAACCCTAAAAATGAGATTATGTATACGTCACACCTAAAATTACGTAACGTTTGCTCCTTAAGCGGTTTTATAAATGCCGAAAATGGCCTGTAACGCAGCAATCATGGTTTTCGAGGACCCAGTGTTTTAAATAGTTGTAAACGTAACAATATTTTGTGTACCTATCTATCCTATCCAACCAATATCTTCAGCGTGTTCTTTATGCAAATTGTCTATGGCTATGACAGAATATCAGAATTGGTACTACTATTTTGAGTTCTGTCCATATTGTCATGATATTAGTTACTATATTATGTCTGTTACTTTTTTATACATATTTGTTTCCTGTATGTCAATTTAGGAAAATAAATTATTTTTGTCATTACTTTTAAAACACTTGGAATGAAGAACTCGAAGACTGTTGCTTGGTCCTGGAGATTAAATTTGCAACATAACGAACATAGAAAGAATTATCACCTTATATAATACCAGTATGATATAGCAGGGATAGCCAACCTTTGTGTTAGTAAGATCCTAAAAATCCTGGTGTTCAAATTGCTGTCCCATGCGTGGCCTTAAAACATAAGCGAATGTCTATAATGCATTTTAAGCTATTGCATAGCTTTTACCGCGGGCTTTAAGCGCGGCGACCGAATCAAGAAATTCCGTAACGAAAATAAAACCTTACACCCCCACTCCGCCTACCATGTAGCTCGGCCGAGCATATAGCGCAATAAAAATAAATAAAAAATAAATAAATAATTGTAGTTGCATAAGTTCGACTATTGCGAGTGAGCTAATTTATTTATTTTATTTCATTTTATTTTATTTATTGGATTACTAACGTAAGATACAGCCAACTCAGATAAATACAAATTATTTGTTACATAGTACAATAGGTAACTGTTCTCACATTTATAAGTAACCACATCATGCGTTTTATCCTGTTACTGTAATGAAAACACTATGAAAAGTTATGTAAGTTAAAATAAGATAATTGTTACGATAAAGGTAAGTCAACATTTTTAATTTTTGCAATAAAAGTAGCGATGCTATCGAAACTTTTATTGCAAAAATTACTAATTTGAGCCTACTCCGTTAAAGGTTGATAATGAATGCATCAGCAATCCCACGAATGCTGTATCTATGCCCGCTTTTCTGACAATTGTTCATCGTTAAGAGCGACTGCGCAGGGCCACGCGACAGTCTTCGCCGTTGCACGAATGGGCAGGTCCGGCCGGGGAAGTACCACAACCTTACAGAAGACCGACGTGCAGTGGAAGCAGGAAGTAGAAGTGGAAGAGTTATACTGCGTCTCGTCTGGCGAGCTAACCGGGGCCCAATATACAAAAGGTGACAACGCATCTACCACCCTAAGGGTGTTGCAAACGTCAATGCGCGGCGGCAAATTCGTCCCGCTGTCTTTCTGTCCTATGTATGCTTAATCTTTAAAACTACGCAACGGATTTTGATGCGATTTTTTAACCGACTTCAAAAAAGGAGATTTCTTTCTTATAGATCTATTTCTTTCATATATATATATATATATATATATACTTACTTTCACGCTAAATATATTCGCGCATCGGCCGCTAGTAAAATTCATTTTAAAAACTATGGTTGACGCCGAATTATGACAGAAAAAGAATTAAGCTGTCATATGTTAATTATATTACAAAATAACTTAATAAGTAAAATAGTGATTTCAGAATCGATATTGTGATTAATAACATTAAATATCGTTTCTTTACCTGTAAGGTAAAGTTTTAATAGTAAAATCTTTTATTTTTGTTATCTCTCTTATCCTTTAAACGACCAATTCTTCTATATATATATACTATTTGTGTTCGCGGCGTTTATGAACCGATATTGATAATTCTTTTTTGTCTGAAAGGAGATATCCCAAGGGTAGTACCATGATAAGAAAACCCGAATCTGATGATGGCATCCCAGAGAAATCGAGGATAATTGCATGTTATAGGCATTAACAATGTCTTTAATTTTCTGATTGAAGTCGGTTTTTTTGTTAAAAATTATACTCGTTACTAGATAGAGTGATTCAAGAGGAAGGTTTATATGCATAATACATTGCACCCGTGCGAAGCCGGGGTGGGTTGCTAGTCTCACATAAAAAATATGCACCAATTGTTGGCCACCCATGCTTTTAGTAATCAGGACTAACACCGCTCGTGTAACTTTTACGAGGGCAATTCATCACCCGCCTGTTACATATCCCCGATAAGACTACAATGGCGCGACGGACGCGGCCGATTTCAATTCATCACAACCGGTCACATCTGATGAGATGGCATCTCGTCCGTGATTTATCCACCAGCTCCGAGGCTCATCCGAGTTGCACACCAATGTACTTAAGCAGGTGGTTTGATTTCTCCGTGGTACAGTCAGCAGACGCTGAAGGAGACAACTAAAAGTATCCTCACCGAAGTCCGGTGTACAGTCGGACCCTTTCAACAGACTGCAATAAAACCGGCCGAGGGCGATCTTTAAAAACGTCAAAAAAATCATGCCTATTGTATTGGAGCAACACTTAAATATTTTTTTATTATTTTTTGTAGTATTTATTTGTTGTTATAGCGGCAACAGAAATACACCATCTGTGAAATTTTCAACTGTCCAACTATACAGACAGACAGACAGCGAAGTCTTAGTATTAGTAATAGGGTCCCGTTTTACCGGCACCCTAAACAGGAGGTTCTTAATTCATTGCTTTTCGTTTGTTAACCGTGATAGCTCAGTACACGGTCGCTAGCTTTTATTTCGATATACCCGAGCAACCCGAGTTCAAATCCTGGTTCCAACACCAATTACGTTGCTAATTTTAACTGCTAACATGTCACGTGCTCAGCGGTGAAGGCAAACATCGTGAGGAGACCTGCATAATTCCGATATAAAATAAAAAAAAATGTACAAAAAACCATTATACCCCTTTATTATATCAGTAGGGATCCGCTCCCGTTTATTCAAATCATCGTTAAACGAGCCGCAATCTGGTTACGATCAACGCCGTTACAGTGTCGCGCGCAAGTTTACAATTAGCGTCCGTCGGACAATCACTGTCCGGCGGCACAATCGTGTTAGCGGCCGTACGGCGTACACTCGCGGGGGAGAGTGTTGAATTGTATTTTTTTTATACGAGAAGCCGTGATAGCTCAGTGTCCGGGCGCTCGCCTTTAATTCAATATACTCGAGCAACCCGAGTTCGATCCCCGGTGCCGGCACCAATGAAGTTTTTAACTTTAAGTGCTGACTTATCACGTGCTCCGCGGTGAAGGAAAACATCGTGAGGAAACCTGCATATTTTCGAAATAATAACAAAAAAAAATTATTTCGAAGATATGTGCTAATCCGCAGTGGGGCCGCGTGGTGGACTATACCCTGATACCCTCTGTATAGACGAGGCCTTAGCCCAGCAGTGGAACATGTATAGGCTGATACTTTACTATTCAAATAGGATTGGTAGCAAAGTGTCTTAGTTCCCCTTTTTATTTCCTGGAGCGATGACTTGGTTTCGGTTCCGCGGGCTATGGGTTCGATTTCCACGGTGGTAGGGCCACGCAGCAATCTCAGCTGTTGCACAAAAGGGTAGGCCCGTCCGGGTAAGTACCGCAATCTCACAGAAGACCAGCGTAAAGTGGATGTACAAATACTTTCGCGTTTCGTCTGGTGAGTGAGGTAGCCGGAGCCCAATTTTCAAAAGGTTGTCAACGCATCTGTAACCCTCTGGTGTGGCAGACGTCCATGGGCGGCGGTATTCACTTAATCAACCCATCTGTTCGTTTGGCAACTTTTCGCATAAAAAAAAGAATTGTACCCGTGTGAGCCACGGGTTAGTACGCGTCTGCATGTTTGTCCGTGTGATACATATTTTAAACGTAAAACATAAACAAATCGTGATAATATTAAAACAACGGCAATTATTCATATAAATATTTTTAGTATACGTACCCAATAACATTCATTTTTGCA